GGTTGGTTTCCTTACTTCCATCGGCTGGAGACGGTCAGTTCCCGGGGGCTGGCTTCGATGAATTCGTTGTTCGGTACTCCCGAGGCGCTGACGGCGAGGCGCGATCGGCGCCGCGTCTACCTGGGCGCTGGCGCCGCGGAAGACGCGAACGAGCGCGCCGCCTGGATCATGTCGAACAGTCGTGCGATTTCGAGGCAGAGCGACAGGGCGTGCGACGGCGGTTGCCAGCGCGCACTGCTCGTCGGCGGCGCCGGGGCCTCGGCGGCGCAGGAGTGCCCAAAGTTCCTGGTGTTGGCGTTGGGCCGTTGATCAGAACCGGCTACTGCAGCGGCCGGCGGGGCTCGAGCGACCTGCCTGAGGTCCCCGAGGCTGTGGAAATCGGTTCAGATGAGGAAGTCGGAGGCAGCCTTGCCCCGCATTCCCAGCCCGAGGATCTCGGCGCAGCCGACAGTCTCCAAAACGGGGTTAAAACAGTTCCACGTGAATCAAGGGCACCCAAGGCGAGACAATCTGCCTCTGATGTCGAAGGTAGCCGGGGCGCAAGAAGACGTCATCAGGCGGGCTGCAAGGTGCCTTTGCCTGCCCGCCCTGCGCCGCGGAGCTCGGCCAGCTGGCGTCGCAAGGCGCAGTTCCCGATAACGCTCCGTTCCAGTGAGCTCTTCGCTGCGAATTTCTTCAACGCCCCCGCCGTTGGCCAGAGCAGCCCAGTGCTAAATCTGCTCGATTATGGCTCGACTTCCCCGGCGCGCGCCGTTATGTCTTCGATTTCGGCTGGCCGAGCCTGGCCGGGATGCGCGCGCGCCTGGAGTCGACTTTTCGGAATTCCGGAGATCGTCCTCTCCGATGCGCGCGCGTGCGCGTGGGGTTCTGAGATTTTCCCGAGATCTCTGGAGCGCGCGCCGAAATCCCAGCGAGTATGCGACGGGGGGGTACTCGCCAGAGTGGGCGTCGAGGGAAGTAGCTCTGGCCGCGGCCCCTGAATTAACTGAGGAGCACGGGGGCTTTCTTGCGGGGGTCGTCGCCCCCCGCGCGTCGCAGCGGCCCCCCCCCGCCGCCCGGCTCGCTCGCAGAGAAATCCGAGGCGTCCCAAATCCATTCCGAGCGATTGCGCGGCGGGCGCAGTGAGCGTTTAAGATGTGATCCGAGGGGTGGGGGGCTCGCGTCGCGGACTCCCCCGCGGCTGCGTATGCCCGCGTGCACGCTCTTAGAGAGGGAGTCCGAATGGCGGCGTTGACGCTCGACGTTCAGGAGAGAGACTCGGGCTGGCAACCCGGGACCGACGCCATTTGGACACGGTCTACCCCCCCAGTGTCCCGGGCGCGCGCGCAGCGTCGCCGTCGAAGGCCGTCGTTTACCCGCGGGGAGCGACTGTCTGGGTGGCTATGAGGGCGCGCCTTTGGATGTGCAGTTCGGAGCAAATCGGGCGAGCCACTAGAGAAGACGCTCTCGGGGCGCATCAATCTCTCATCCAGCTTTCGAGAAGCTTCGAGCCCGCCCCGAGGAGGCGGGGCCGTGGGCGTCGTGTCCCGGGGGCCCCGCCGCACGAAGACCAGGGCGGCCCTCGCCGAGGCCCCCCCTTGCTTCCATCCCCGATGGTCGCGCCGTCGGGAAGCGGCCAGGAGATGCCATGTGCCAGCGCGCCCGAGGGCCAGAGCCTCGCGCTCCTTTGAGCGGGGGGTCTGGCGGGCCAGCGCTGGCCTCTCACCCCCCGCGCTAACTCAGTTGCCCCCCTCGTCCGGATGCTCTCGAGGGCCGCTTCGGGGGCCTGGGTCGCCCCGGACTGGGCGAGGGCTCCGCGTCGGAAGCAGGAGCTGGCTCTGCCCCTCCTCTCCCTTTGATTGTCTGCCTCCATCTCTGATCCTTCTCTCGCCGATCCTTCCTTCGCCCGGGCGCGTCGGATGGCCCGGGGCATCGTCCAGGGCCGACGCTCCGCGCCGACCGCGCTGCTCCGAGATGTGCCTCTCTGTGTTCGCCCCGCTCGGGCTACTCTCCAGCGGCGCCCCTGCCTTGCCGACCGGCTCGTCGCGCTCTCGGCGGCCGAATCGCTCGGACGACGCTGCCGCGAGATAGCGTCAACCGCCGATCTCAGAGACGCCCGGGTCGGTCAGGGGCCCCGGCGCCAATTCCCCCCCCGAGCTGGAGCATCTTCCCATGGGCGAAAGATATTTCGCGAATTGGCACACTCAGGAAAACGATGCCGAGGAGCAGGAGGCTCCCGGGGACAAGCTGTGGCCTCGTTCCGGCTTTGATCTTAGTCTTTGGAGCGTTCCGTTTTTCGTCGAGGCGCTTGGGCCCGCCGTTCCGGTTCCGCCGGGGAGTTGAGGTCATTTTGGACCAGCTCACCCCCGACGAGCGCCAGCAGTTGGTTGAGTCGGATGCCAAGAAGTGGGGTGCCATGATGAGTTCCAGTGCATTTCGAGTTGCTACCCCAGCCAGTATTCGTTTGATTCGGAGGCGTCTTCCCGATCGAACCCCTGGGGTCGATCCAAACCTCACGGAGGAGTAGGCTCTCGTCCAGAGTCTAAGAGTAGATGGCGATTGCAGGGCCACCCTGACCCTGATGGCGAGGATCTGCACGTGCATGCCCCCGCTCCTCAGGCCGAGGCTTCGACGGCAACTTTGCAGGCAGCGCAATCCCCTGGCTGGGGGCCAGAGATAGCGGGCGCGACGGATGCTTTCAGCCAGTCGGATCGACTGCATCGCTCCACAGGAGCCATGCACTGCGAGCCCAAACAGGGCTTGACACAGCTGCCTCCGTCTGTGCAGGACCCCCCGCGACTTTCTGAGGCGAAGACGGTCTCCAGGTGCTTCTGTCGGGAGCCTGGTATTGACTCGGGATGTCCGCCCTGGGTGGGGCCCGAGCCATCGCAATCATTGAGGTGGGCGATTTGCTCGGTGCCGCTCGTCTTTCGGATGGGGGCCAGACTCCGGAGCCGCCTGTCTTCTCGTTTTAAGTTCGGGAAGTGCAAAGTAGCTTCGTCCGATTATGCCGGCCGTCGCCTTCAGCAGCAGGGGGGCATTTCGGCCCCGCGTCGCTGAACGAAGTTCGGAAAAACTGATGCCATGCCCCCCTCCCCCGAGAGGTTAAAGGCTACGGGGCCATGGTGGCCTTGATTCAGTGGTTAAGTAGAACGGTCCTGATGTCGCCGGGGGTGCTTCCCTTCTTTCTGCTGCTCTTCCCCACCCTACGACTTCTCATGCCCTCATGGGAATCAAGCCCCCAGGGCATTTTTAGGCTCTCCCGCGAGCCAGAGAAGCATCGTCCGACCCCCTGATTCCCACTCTGTCACACCTTCACGGCGAGTTCCGACGCTGGCGGCCCAAGCTCTGCCGAGCAATGAGGGGGCCAGGGAGATGGTTTGCCAGGGCCGCCGACGCCGAGATCCGCAGAAACAGGCGCGCCCGCATCCCTCATCTCTCTCTTGGAGGTCCACTCGCTTCAAGCGGGTGGTTGCCAGTACCACCGCGTCTGAGGCGTTAAGTGTCTCGGCCGCGGTAGGAGAGCCTGAATGGATCCAGGCGATGGGTTGCCATCTGTGTTTCAGTGGTGTGTCCAAGCACGACTGGCACGTAGGCGCCGCCCATTATATATATATATATATATATCCAAAGGCTGTGACTTGGCCGGTTGCAATCCTTCCGTGTCAGTCGTTAATGCAGAGGCCATTTTGCATGCGTTGATTCGAAACACTTTTGTGTCCCGGGCCGATCGCAGGACCGCCATCGTGCTGGCGGTCCTCAGAGACGCTCTTTATTCGATCGTGTCCCAGTTCCAGTGGGTCCGTCACGCGAGAATGGAAGCCGATCCGTCTGCCACAGTTGATCCGGGGTGAGGCAATGTCGCGTTGGATGATTTGCTCTCTAAGGGGTCTGTGTTTCCTACGGACGAGGAAGGGCACATGTCAGACCGTGCGTTGACTAGTTCCCTGAGGTCACGTGCCCGGACAACCCTAGAGCCAACATGAAGCGTGAAATAGTATTTCGATCCTTTAGGCTTTGTGTTTGCGGACTGGTCCGAGGATCCGGGGAGGCTTCACGGGGGTGACGGGGTTGTTTTTATTCCAATCCCACGAGAAAGGGGTCCCGCTGTCGTGTGTCCCCTCTTCCTCTCATTCTTGTCATGCGACTAAGCGCAGAGGGTGGAGAGGCTAGGGTGCTGCTCGCAGCCCTTCGGGCCCATGGATTCCGTGTCGGATCGCCCGATGGCTTGATGTGTCATCGCACGGCCATTTGGTGATCAACGTATCCCCTCCTTCTCTCCTCATGTCTTCCACTGGCACCCTGCTGCTGCTCCTTCTGTCCCCCTTGTTCCCAATGACTGCTTGCAAACGATACCGAATGTTGCTGCTCCTCCTGCTCCTCCTTTTCCTCTTCCTCCTCCTCCTCGCTCCTCCTCCTCCTCCTCCTCCTTTCCCTCTTCCTCCTCCTCCTCCTCCTCCTCCTCCTCGCTCCTCTCACGCCCTGCTAAAGACAGGGCTGCAGCGCGTGGGCCCCAAGCAGTGGAAAAAGGGGGCTACGAGAAGGGCCACGGCCGCGACCCTGCGGCCACCACCGCAAGCCGAACACGGGGTGCTCCTCCTCCTGCTCCTCCTCCTCCTCCTCCTCCTCCTCCTCGTCGTCCTCCTCCTCCTCCTCCTCCTCCTCCTGCAGCGCGTGGGCCCCAAACAGTGGAAAAGGGGGCTAGGAGAGGGGCCACGGCCGCGACCCTGCTGCCACCACTGCAAGCCGAACGCAGGGTGGGGGGGGGGCAACCGGGACCAGAGACTTCCAGGCGGGGCCTCGCAGGCATCCGCCAGGGAAACCGGCACGGCGCGGCCCTTGTCCCGGTGGCCCTACTTGCCCCTTGTACGGAGCGCGTGGCCACTGAGGCCAAAACCCCACGGGCAGGTCCCGAGCTGGACCACCGCCACGGGGGCCACCACTGACGGAAGCAACCATGCGCAGATAGTCCTGCTAGGCAAGCGCCCGTGCAATTACTCTCACTGCTCGGGGGATCGAAGGATTTACTTCGATGGCTCGGACATCGAGGATTTCGAGATCATCGAGGCTCTCCGCGGGGACACGGTCTTCGCTCTCGGGTCGCTTGTTTTCGTCCACGTGTACCTCTACATGCACACGCGGAGCTCGCAGGAGGAGGAGCAGAAGGGAGAGGAGGCGGAGGATGCTGAGGAGCAGGAGGAGGAGGGAGAACGAGAAGGAGGAGGAGGAGGTGAACGAAGGAGGAGGAGTATGATGTTGGGAAGGACAAGCAACGTTTTATCATCTTACAGCAATGTTGAAGACTCCTACCCCCCGACCCTCCAGGGTCGAGGGCAAAGCTCGCCACGAGGTGGAGGAGGAACTGAATGAAAGGAATGCGCCTGCGAGCGATGACGATTGTAGTGACGATGATGATCACGATGATGGCGATGCTGGCGATACTGATGCTGATGCTGATGATGATGATGAGACTGATGATGATGACGAGGAGGGAGAGGAGGACCAGGGTAAACCCAGGATGCATAAGCGTTGCAGCAAATCCTCCCGTCCCTTGTCCCATTGCATCTCTCCCTGCAGGGGTTCCTTCTCACTGCGGGAAGCACCCCATTCACAGGCGAGCGCTGTATGGCCCTGTTGGCCAGACAAGAGACCCGTTTGAAAAGGAATGGGTGCGAAGATGTCGGATTTCCAAGACAAAGGCGGTGTCCGGCTGGAACTTTATTTTTCAAGAGAGTCAATTTCCATGCGTGTATCTGTTGCACATGTGTGCATGCTTCTGGTAGTCATACAAAGGATGTGTCAAACTAGAACCCACTTTTGAAGAAGGAGCCAGCCTCAATACCTGTAGCTGCCAGCAACGTGTAGGACGTGTGTGCGCGGCGGTGAGCCGAGAGCCGTGTTATGACATCGATTCGCATTCCATCCATGCAGTTGGCTTGGAAGTGTTTAAGGCAAGTGTGCGCGACGCTAATGCGAGAGCCGGATGGCCGCTCCGCCCCACATCCTTGTAACGGTCGGAGTGTTTTAAGACGACTTCGCGTGGCAGAAAGGCGAGAGCCACATTTCGAAAACCACCCACCCTGCAACCGTGTAGTTGTTGACAGCTTCAAGCTCCGAAAGGTCTGTTTGCCATGGGGAAGTGCCAGGCGAACAGACTGGCCCGCTCTGCCGGCACGTCTGGTGGGTTGACGGTGTAGAGTTTTTGATGAAGTGGAAGGACGGAGGAGAACACAGAGGGGGAGGACAAGGAGGGGGAGGATGAGAAGGAACACGTACGAGCGACGATCATGAGAAGGATGAGGGGGAAGCATGATGAGGCGGTGGAAAGTGTTGCCACCGCTTCAGATCGGAGGCTGCCAGAAGGGTTCGTTGGACAAGGCTGGTTTCGCTGGACTCGAGGTCCCCCCAGCCCGACCTTAGGAACTCCAGCACGACCTGAGGCGCCCCAGCAGCCGTCGAAATCACCCTTCTTGAACCATACCTTCTCGCCGTCCTCGATCAGATCCAGACCCCCGTAGATCCAGGAGATTTTCTGAGGCCTTCAGGGGTACCAGCAGGCCCGAACATTTTTGCCAACAGCGTTCAACATCTTTTTGCAACGTTCGCTCGATCCTGAAGAGTCCAGGGTAAACCAAGGGACGAGGATTAGGAAGCGAAATGCTCTGGAACGTTACAAGCACCTACCGCATTCCCATCCGCTACCTCCTTGAAAACTGCTCTTCTCCTACGCCGTCCAGAGAAGATGGCTAAACTTGCCAGGAAGAGAAGGATGGCGGAGGACGATGACGGAGGAGGAGGAGAAGCAACACGAAAACGACGAGGAGGATGAGGATGAGAACGATGAGAAAGCAGGAGGGGGAAACAATGCGAGGAACGACGCGGAGGAGGATGAGGAGGAGGTGGAGGAGGAGGAGGATAACGAGGAGGATAATGAGGATGACGAGGGAGAAGGAGGCGAACACGAGGAGGACGAGGAGGATGAGGAGGATACGAGAGGGAACATGAGGGGGAGGGGCGAGGAGTCTGCTACTGTGCCTCGCGGGCCCCATCCTGGCGGGCCTGTCCCTGCCCCTGGCGTACAGCACCAGCGCGATGCTCTTTGGCATCACGGAGGTGCACGGCCGAGGGATTGCTTCCTCGTATTCAAGGGTGGAGGAGGTGGAGGTGCGAACGATAGAGGTGGGGGGGGAGGTGAGACGAGGAGGAGGAAGAAGAGGAGGAGGAGGAGGAGGAGGAAGAGCGAGGAGCGAGGATCGATGCCAAGAAGGAACATGGCGGAGGAAGAGGATGAGGAGCAAGAGTGGAACAAGGCAGATGGTGAAGGAGGCGGAGCAGGAGGAGGACGAGGAAGAGGAGGAGGAGGAGGAGGAGGAGGAGGAGAATCAAGGAGGAGGATTCAGGTGGATGATGAAAAGAGGGGAGGGGAAGGGGATGAGAGGGGGAACAGAGGAGCGATGGTGGGTTTGGAGGAGGAAGACGGTTGAGGGAGGGGGACACGCCCTCTTGAACAACGAGAGCCTCAAGGGCCTGCCCCCATGGGCTGGCCATCCGAATTCGGTGCCTCCGCTTTTCGAAGCAGTCGCCCTCCACCCAGTGCCCTAACACCGGTGCGTGCCGACAGGTGTGGTCATGCAGCTCGAGTGGGGGGTCCAACGAGAGCCCCGGTCTGAAACGCAACCGTCTGCGCCCCTGCGGCCGTTCAACAATGCTCGGCACACCTCTTGCCATACACCCAGATCGAGTTCGGCAACGTCCGCATCTTGAACAGGATTCACCCTCTACCCGCTTAACTGCTGCAGTATATATATATATATATATATGCATATATATATATATATATATGCATATATGTATGTGTATATATGTATGCATGTATGTATATATGTATGTATATATGTATATATGAAAATATCAGTTTGGGCTGTTCTAGCCTGAGGATTTCTCGAGTGGTATGCTTCACGTTGACACAGGAGCCGCCACCCATGTGCGCAACTGTTTGGGAGCTTCGAGGGCGAATGTGTGCGACGCGTCTGGTAGAGCCTTCATTTTGACATTTACCGCCTCCGATCCGTGTCATTGCTAGGAGACTTTATTACGATATCTACAAGTTGTGTATGCTCCGAACTCCATTAGTCGGGCTGGTAACAAGTGAGGGCACATGAGCGCAGAACACGTCTTGACCCATGTTTTCAAAACGGCTCACTCTCCATATGTGTCACAGTTGGGACCTTCAGTCTTCATTGTTGTGAGGGCGCCCAAGGAGAAAACGTGGGTCCTCGTCACCGACACGTCTGGCCGTTCGACGAGGAGGAATTATTGATGCGGGTGGCGGATGGAAAGGAGGAACACCCCCCTCCCGCCCCAATCCTCCTTGCCCCATTCCACCCCGTCGTATCAACGGTGCCATCTTCGTGGCACTGTGGTCAGCATTTAGGTGCAGCGCGCCCGCTTCGGAAAGCCCCTGAGGACCCCAAGCCTTGCTGTTCTTCGCCCTTGCCCTAAGAACACCGCAGACGTCGAACACTGGTCCTGCGCATATCTGTACGCATTCGCGTATGGCTGTAGCTACATATACATAGGTATACATCGATGTGCATACACGGATATGATCTAAGACATACATAGCGCGTGTGTTCCATGCCTGCGTATTCTGCCAGATCGTGTTTTTATTGTGTTATGTCTTCCTTTCCATCGGCCACCACATTCCCGAAACAGTGCTTGCCCTTGAGGCCTCGTGCGTGTTCTCACAGTTCTGGGCTCCGTTGCCGTGTCCGCTGCCGTGTGGTCGCCGTCTCTTCCACGCCGCCTTCTCGTCGCCGCCCGTCTTCAGGGCTCCGTGGCCGGGTCCGCCGCCCTGTGGTCGCCGTCGCCGCCCCTTCCGCCGCCTTCTGGCTGCCATCGCCCACCAGTCGCCGCCTCGTCGCCGCCCGCCGTTTGGGCTCCGTTGTCGAATTCTATGCGAAGAGAAAGCATCAGTTGTTCAACGATGTCGTCTAATGTGCCCACGCGGGCCTCTCGCGCGCGCAGGTCGAACCCTTTCGAACGCCCTTGCGCGCTTGCTGGGGGGCGGGTAGGGGAGCGCGATCCCTGTTAAACAACACCATGCGGGCCACGCGCGCGCGTCGGCCGCGCGCGCAGTTCAAATTCATGCCAAAACCTTCATCAGCGACACATGGATACTATCAGCGTCTCAGTGAGGGCGATACGCCCGACGGGTTTGAGAAGGGGGTTTTACATTGCTCCGACGACGACCAGGGCAGCAGTTTCCACGTTGAGCGATTACAAGGTCTTGCTCTTCTCGTCCCGCGTGGTCGTGTTCTGTTCGCTGGGCCAGAGCCTCGGCTTCGGCAAGGGTGATCCAATGCCCAGCATGGCGGTTTGGGCCAAGTTTGCCAAGTACAAAATCACAGCGGACTCGTCGCAGTTCGGTAATGGCCTCAGTCTGGCCCGCCCTAGGGTGTTCACTTGCTCGTATCCCCATTGCTCAATCGGGGTCTTCGGCCGTAACACGCTCTGCTCCGCGCATTCTGGCTCTGGCTATGCCTCCGCTCGCTGCGAATGGTGCTCCGCCGAAGCGCCAGACGTGCATCTCAGGGATCAGCCGTCATGCAACACGTGTTCGTGGGCTCATTTGCCTAGTTATCCCCGCGCTTGCCCGGCGTGCTTCAGTGTCGGGTGCACCTTAACGATATGTCGTCTTCCGAGGCCTAGTGCGGTGGCTGACCTAGCCACCGTGTCCCGATAGCAGAAACCCAGCGGGTGACAACGGACGAGCAGATGATTGTTTATTGAATCGCTTCGCTCACTCCGCCGGCCCATTTCGCATGACTGAGCCTCTTGGGGCCGCTGGGGGGCCTCTTCAGCGTCGCTTGGGGGCCTCCTGAGGGCCTCTTGGGGTCTTCTGGGGCCTCTCAGGGGCCTCTTGAGGCCTCCTGGGGGCTTCTTAAGGCCGAGGGCTCGAAGTTTTGTTTTGTGTTCCCCCTTTGGGGCATCGCTTGGGGCCCTCTTGGGCCCCTCTTGGGCCGTCTTGGATGCCTCTGGGGCCGTCTTGGAGCCCTCTTGGGCCATCTTGGGGCCTTCTTGGGAGCTTCTTGGTCCCTCTTGGGGCGATCTTGGGGGCCTCTTGGGCCGTCTTGGGGCGTCGGGAAGCCGAAAAGATGGACACGCCAAAATCTGCCCAAAGCCTAAGGAAAAGTAATGAATTTTGCCTCTTGGGGCCCTCTGGGGAGTGCTCTTGGAAGCCTCTTGTGGCGTCTGGGGGCCATCTTGGGCGTCTTGGAACGATCGTGTGGCATCTCGGAGCACTCTTGAACCATCTTGGAGGGCTCTTGGCGGCCTCGTGGCCCTTCTTGGGGCTCTCTGGAGGGCCACGGGGGCGGCGCCCAGGAGAAAAACCATCTCTGACCCGAGTCTGCCGGGTATCGCCCGGGGTACTTTTCGTCCGGGGACCCCCAGGGGCCGCCCCGCGCGCGCGAAGTAGAAGTATTATTTAGCAGTTACCGGAGATCTTAGCACGCCTCTGGCCCGTTGGGCCGGCGAATTTCGTCGATGCCAACTGCGCCGTGCAATCGGATTCTGGAGTGCTCGCCATGGGGCAGCCGCGGCGGCTTACTGCTCTGGGCAGCGTAACCGATTTCCGGGTGGTGGACGCGGCGCGTGACTTCGAGGTGATTGTTCCATGTGTCGCTCGTGTGAATATCCCAGAGGTGGAGCCTCTGTCTGGCTTGCCAGGCTGTCTTGGATGGACGTCATGTTGGACGAGCGGCAGGCGTGGGCGCCTGAGGGCGACCAGGTGTCCAACGACTAGCTGGTTGGCATAGTGAATTTGCGCTCATGCTCTATCTACCAGCACATTTCAGTGAACCTTGTCTGGTCGACTGCCGCCTCGCCCATCATCGCAGGACTTTTGATCATCGTTCCCAACTTGCGTGATTCAACGCCGACTGCCAGGTTCCAATTGTCACGGGTGGTACTGAACTTTTCTCAGACGAGAGCACTGTGAATCATGCGCATCTGATATTGCGACCGCGATGGCCTCGGGCCCCCACTGCATTGCGATGTGTGCCACCATTCATTTCCGTTGTTCCGCCTTGTCGCGCGTTGGGTTCCGTTCCTCTGCGAAGGCCCAAAGGGTCACTCACGCCGCCGAGCGCCCGTCCTTGCGTCTGGCTCTTTCGCGCGCTGTCGCCGCTCACTTCGTTGATGCTGGCTATATAGATTTGCTTCCTTTGTTGCTGATTTGTGACCAGGTGGTCGGACCGAGGCCCCAGCGGCAATTGGCCTCCTTGCCCCCGCGCCCACGCCCCCTGGAGGCTCGCCAGCGGGAGCTGTGAAGACCCCCGAGCCGTGGGCGGTCTTCATGCCAAGCGTCTTCGCTGGACCAGCCTCTGGGGTCCGATCTGCGACGCGCCCGGGGGAGGGGGAGCGCGTTTTTTTGGGCGCCGTCGCTGTCGCATCAGCTCGTGCAGCCGTTTCAGTGGCGGATGTGTTTTCCTTGCTTTGTGCTTGGCTCGTGGCTGTCATCGCAGTCGCAGGTGCGATGCGCGCGCCCACTCCAACGTGCCTGAGCGCTTGGTCGCACGGAGGGCTTGACATGGTCTGTCCCCAGGAATTGCACGCATCACGTGCTCCAGCAGCTCGGATCGCGAGGCCTATCGAGCCTTCTGACCGGCGCCTGGCATTTGCGCCACTGATGAAGGTCTTTATACTGACGGTTGCCATTGTTTGCGCGTGTCTTCGCCCGCTTTGGTCGATGATTTTCCTTTTCGCATTGCCCCGGGAGTGGATCGCCAGATTGGCTGGCTGCTCGTGACTATCTTCAGAGGCCCTGAAAATATTAAAGCCTCCCAGGCTCGGCTTGTTCCCAACCATCCTGTGCTGTTGGGTCCTCGTTTTGAAGAGACGATCCTCGCGTTCTTCGAACTTCCTTCCTTCTCCCTCCTCCCCCATCATCCCCCTCCTCCTTCCTCCCTGCATTTCGCCCACTACAGCGCTTCGTGGCCCCACAGGGGACTCCACCGAAGCCCCCAGTGGGACCGCCCGCATGTGTCAGCCACCACCCAGTACAGCGTTTCGTGGTCCCACAGGGAACTCTGCCGACGACCCCAGTAGGA